AGGGTGCAGTGAAGGTGCACCTGCAGCAGTTGGCATCCAGAAGTCAGGAGCATCTCAATATTCAGGATGTTTATTTTAAACTCTGATTCCAAAGTTCCTGAAAGGATATGGTTAGATTTCCTTCCTTGCCTGAGCTGTGCCTGTGAACTGACTATCATCTTGCACAGGCACACAGAAGGACCTTGAGCATCTCTATTACATTCTTGCATTTTGTTCTTTTAACCCAATAAAAGATTTAATTTCATGTTACAAATATTTCATTTGATGTAAGAAATTACACTGAAAGATTTTGCAGTGGCAGCTGTCCCCCAGACACAGGATGTTAGGTGTGTGTCCCTGTTTCCATCCCATTGTGGCCATTCCAGGGGGTTGTTCTGCAAATGAAACTGCAGGTTCCTTTGATCTTTGATTGCAGAGGACATGATTAAGTGAAGGACTCTCTAAGAACCTGCACAGAACTGCAGAGGTGAACCCGTGTGTGACATAACACACTCCATCACCACTCAGGTGACCCCAGTGTTGTCTTTGAGGAGCATTTCCACCCCTGCTGTCCTGTGGGGTTCCATTTAACATGCCCCACCAACAGTACAGCATGCTGAATCCTCTCTGGGCTCTTCTTGCCTTCAGAGTAGTCCTTTATTTTTATTGTCACACCTTGGGATTCTATTCCAGGTGACTAATGTTCATTGTCCCTTGATGTGAATGTGCATCTGGACAAGGAGTGACAAGACAGAGGAGAAAGCTGTGACTCTCTTACATTTTGGAACTGATTATGTAGCAGTCCATTCTGAGACCTCCACTCCTCTTTAAAGCTTCTGCAATGTTCTTTGTGTTCTGGGTTTGAGAGGGATGCAGTATTTTCTGTGAGCTCTTAGGTCTCTGATGACTATTCACCTGAACATGGCAGCATTTGCTAAGCTGTGTGTGTATAATCCTGTAGATTCTGAATGAATCTTTCTTTAACAATTGCTTTAACAGAGATTTAAATTTTTTTATAGCATTGAATTTTCTTTTGGCCTTTGTATGCAAATCACATTTCCATGGGTGCTGTGATTTCTCCATCCCTTCCTTTGTGTGGCTCAGCAGCAGTTGCAGAGCAGTGATGAGCATTGTTACTGCATGACACAGAGGTGCTCCATTTGTCTGTGTTATGGAGGATAAAGGAGATTAAGTCCATGTTACAACCAGAAACAATTACATCTTCAATTTGGAAAGCATGACACTTCTGTTCCTACTGCCCATCTCTTCAATTTAGTACTAATTACACTTTAGATCCTTGTTTATCTAATTGCATAAAAGCCTTTTAGGTAGGCCTGTTTTCCTGACCTCTTCCTTTGATCTTCCCTGTTCCTTTCCTTGCCAGAATAATAGATCAATCAAGCAACGTGGAGATTGCCTCATTCCCCATCTACAAGGTGTTGTTTTGTGTGCGTGGGCAAAATGGCACTTCGGAGAGCGACTGCTTCGCGTTTACGGAGAGCAGCTGTGGCACAGAGGAGTTCCAGATCCACGTTTTCTCCTGTGAGATCAAAGAGGCTGTAAGTGTTGTGTGTGCCCTGGAGAAAGGATACAAGCAGGATTTTAAGAGATTATTCCTGATGTGGAAATCATAGAATGCTGAGGGGTTGGGATGTAGCTTGGAGTTCACCTAGCCCCAACCCCCTGCCCTGGGCAGGGACACCTCCCACCAGAGCAGGTTGCTCAAGGCTCATCCAACCTGGCTGTGAACACTGCCAGGGTTGGGGCAGCCACAGCCTCCCTGGGCACCCTGGGACAGTGTCTCACCACCAGAACAGGGAAAACTTCTGCCTGGTATCTAAATTATCTGAATGCTATATAATGCATTTAAAAATTTGTTAACACATATATAAAGAGCTTCACAGAATGTGCAACTACTCCTGCATGAGCCTGGAGAAGAGGAGGCTCAGGGGAGACCTTCTCACCCTCTGCAACTCCCTGACAGGAGGTTGGAGTCAGGTGGGGGTTGGTCTCTGCTCCCAGGCAACAGCAGCAGGACAAGAGGGCACAGACTCAAGCTCTGCCAGGGGAGGGTTAGGTTGGCTATTAGGAAGAGATTTTTTGTGGAGAGAGTGCTCAGGCATTGGAATGTGCTGCCCAGGGAGGTGGGGGATTCCCCATCCCTGGAGGTTTTCAAGGTGAGACTGGATGTGGCACTTAGTGCCATGGGCTAGTGACCACGGGAGGGTTGGACTGGGTGATCTTGGAGGTCTTTTCCAACCTGGTTGATTCTGTGATTCTATGAATAATACAAGTTTTTTCTCTTAGTATTTCTATAAGATTCCAAAGTGCACTGTAATAGGGAGATTTAGAAAGCCTAAGTTTAAGACAAATATCCTGTTTTTCAGGCCTCATTTGGGTAGGTTTCAGACTAGAGTTGCAATATAGACCTTTAATTACAAAGAATCATTTTAAGGTGCTCTGCCCTAGATGTTTTAGGACAGTTTGGGAGAAAAGGACTTTTTAGTTTGGAAAAATGGAGGCTGAGAAACACGTCGTCTCCTTGGGTTTTGACGTGTGCCAGAGCAAGCTGTAGGTCGTGTTGTTTAATACACAACCTGAAAAGTACATTATCCAGGTCCTCTAGTGAGCTGCATCCCTAATCCTGTAATTTAGATTAATTTCCTGAGCAGTACATGAGGAGAGAATGTGACAGGAGTGCAAACAGGAGATGTTGTTGCCTAATTGGCTTGGTTATTAAGCACCCAGCCTTGAGTGCTTGGTGTGCACAGGGCGTGCTGTGTGTTCAGTGCAAGAGGCAGGTCACAGTCATTTTCTGACCTTCAAAAACCTTACAATAGCCCTTTAGAAAGACTGAGTTGTGGTGAAACTAACATCTTTTTTTCCTTTCCTGCAGGTCAGCCGAATTCTGTATAGTTTCTCCACAGCATTCAAACGTTCTTCCAAACAAGCATCTGATCACGTGAAGGACTTTGTTCTCCCCACTCCAGACAGTGATGTGTACACTTTCAGTGTCTCCTTAGAAGTCAAAGAAGATGATGGCAAAGGAAATTTTAGGTAAATCAGGGTGGAAAGAGAAAAGCAGAAATCTCTTTGCAGAAATCATTTAGCTCCTTTGAGAATGCACAACTGTTGTGCTGCAAAATTCATTCGACCTCTTTTTATTTAAGTAGACTTACTATAACAAGGGAACTGTTCTGCTTTGACAGTTTTGTTCTCTGTGTTTTTCTGTGAAAAGGTTAAAATTCAGGTTACCTTTTTTCAAGTTAGTTTCTTTTCAGTACATGATTTCTGGTTGGCCTCTGGAAATGGAGAATATTTCAAGTTAGTTTCTTTTCAGTACATGCTTTCTGGTTGGCCTCTGGAAATGGAGAGTGTGAGAGGAAGTCTTAAAAACTTGAGTCAGACCAGATTTTTTTGAGTACATACAGTCTAGTGGACTTTTGATTTATTTTTTTAAAAAATAAGCTAATGCATTTAGAATTTATTGACAATTTAGAAGATGTCAGCTCTAAATGTTACAGGGAAGAGGGGGAGCAAAATCTTCATTGCCTGACAATTACAAGAGCTTTTGGGATGGGTGAGAGAATTGGTAATGAATGGAAGTTGATAGTTCTGTGAAAATGCCCTGTTTATGTTCTGGTTCACAGTCAGTATACAGTACATTCCCTATCATTTTCACCCCCACATGGCTCTGTTTGTCTGACAGATCCCCCAGCCAGTGTGAGCCTCTTTGTCCTCAGTGCTGGGTTGTTAGCTGGTCAGTGGAGGAAGAGAAGTGCCACGAGTTGAGCCATTAGCAGCTGAACTGAGCTGCTGCTCTGTGCTGTGTTGAGCAGTTCATGTTCTATACCTGTGCTGAAGAATGTTTCTTTCCTCTTTTAGCCCTGTGCCAAAGGACAGAGACAAACTGTACTTCAAGCTTAAACAGGGCATTGAGAAGAAAGTGGTGATTACAGTTCAGCAGCTCTCAAACAAGGAATTGGCCATTGAAAGGTAAGAGTCCCATAAAAATGAAGGTGCAGTTCTTGAAAGAGCAGTATTTCATGTGGTTTTCTCTGTCTTTGCAAGTTATGTGACAGCAAACACCACACCAGTTACACCAAGTATGGCTGCACACTAGAATTAATGCCAGCAGATGGCAATCTTAGCAAAAGAGTAACAATGAAATTCAATTCCAGTGAAAAAGAGATTCAGGATAACAGGAGAACCAGGAAAACTGCCAAAACCCTCTGAAACCTCTCATTGATCTCTTGACTTGCTTTCAAGCCTTTACTTCAGAAATCAAACTAAAATGTTGGACAAAGAATATACAGGAGAGATTTTATCATCATTCTGTTGTGTCGTCAAATTCTGCTTTTGCTACTCATTGGCTTTAAAAAAATATAATTCTCTTTCCAATGTCATTTTAGTTGAAATGCTTTTGGCTTCAGCATTCAGTTAATGAAGCATTTCTGAACAGCATTTGCTGGTTTTCTCCTCAAAGTAAAGCGACCTTCTTTAGAAATCTGCTTTTATTTTGGTGTTGTTTTGAATATTCAATTAGGATCTTATTTTTACCACCACAAGCCTTGCTGTGATAAAGTTATTTATTTGACATGACACGCAGAGGCTTGTAAGTCACTTTATGTACTTAACCCTGCAGAATATTAAAACTCAAAAGCAGTTTGAAAGGTGAATGCAGCTTACATCAGTGAGCTTCCAAGCAATTTCATGTGCCTTCAAAAGCATTTCTGAGTGGAAATTAAAATGCAAAAAGATTAGTGCTAAAAGATATTTGCTCTTGGGTCTGAAGTGAATCAGAATCTCAGTTCTTTTTTTGCTGGTCTAGAAACTGGTGGAGTATGTGCAGGTGCACATAGCTGCTTGGTGGGCAGCTGTAGGTGCAGAAACCAGCACGTCAGAAGTGGTGAGGGGCCCACAGGCTGTGCAGGTCAGTTTGAGCCCTCAGCTGACAGCTGTCTCTGTCAAATCCAACGGCCTCAACTTGTTCAAACTCATTTGGCTCTTCGAGTCAGAGGGAGGAGAAGCCCTGACTCCTCTAGCAGGATGCTGCCAGTCAACATGAGTTTCTGCTTCTCTTGGAGGTCGGGGTTGCTTGTTCCTGACTCCCACTCTTCTGGGAACTTGTTTCCCAAAACCTTTGGCCAGCATACATCAGAACCTCTGAGCAAGAGTGTCACCTGGGAGCTGTTGCCTTTGAAAGGCACAGACATTTTGCCTGCCCCTGAATCTTAGCCTTGCAGTTTGCTTTAGCAGCTGTACCAGAAGCTGATGACCCCTCTCCTGTCTAAATTCTAGCCCTTTCAGAACTGTTTCTGCCCCAGGAACAAGTAGTAAGTCAGGTTATTGTTAGGTTCTGCCTGGTCTAGTCCCTCAGAGAAGTCAACTTGAGTGGCTAAATCCAGGTCCTGCATCCTGCCTTAGGTGCTTCCCATGGCACTGTGGAGACAGAGAAATCAAATTGGTGTCAGCTGTTTTATTTACCACTTGGATTTTTGGGATTCTAGTAGTGAAAGAGTATGGAGAAGGGAAGATAAAATCGTGGGTGTAAGTTACTGTTAAGTGTAATGAGGTGGAAAATGAAAATCCAAATGTAATAGGGGAGAACTTACAGGTGGTGTAGTAATTGCATATCTTAAGAGTTTTACAGTTAATAGAGTTATGGAAATGATAGTTGCTAGTGTTCATCTGTTCCAGCAATATTGCTCAGCATATTGCTCTGCTCATGACAGAGTGTGCTTGCCTGAAAGCTGTGAAACTGTTCCATCTTCATTGTTAACCTGTGAGCGTTCAAAGCAGCTCTTAGAGATTGTTTGCTGAGAAATATCTACATTCTCCTTTGGTTAGGGTGGCAGAACTGCTTTTGTTCAGGCCTGGTGAGAATGGGGGACATGGAATACCTGGGGGAAGGGAATGGTAGGGGTGGAGCCAAAGGGGTAGGACTGGAGTCAATGGACACAAGTTGCTTCACTGGAAATTCCTCTGGGGAATGAGGCCAGTTGTTGTCAGCACAAAGGGAGTTCAGCTGTGGAACAGGTTGCCAAAAGAGATGATTTGTTCTCTGTCCTCAGAGATGCTCAGAACTTGACTTGACAAAGCCCTGGGCAACCTGATCCAGGTTGGTCCTGGTTGGAGTGGAGGTTTGGGTGAGATTGCTTGCAGAGATTGCTGCTGGTTTGCATTGCTCTGAGAGGCAGTGAGGAAAAGTGGCTGGTCTGAGTGAACAGGAGAGAAATCCTCACAGCAAACCCCTCTGAAATCCACCCCCAGTTTTCCATAACATTTCAGGACGCAACTGCTTTCAAGTTGTTGTTGGTTTTTTTTCCTTTGCTCACTTGAGACCTAACATTTTTCAGAGCCTGTGCAAAACAACTTGGAAGTTGTAACACACACAAAGCTCTCTTAGGTGTTTTCTGTTTTTTGTGGAGTTTGTTCAAAGGAGAGAAGGACAAAGGTGATTTGCAGGAACTTCAAACCTGCCTTCAACAGTCAGAAAGTCTGAAAATCTGCATGTCTGAAGAATTTCAGTTTGGTTTTTTGCTCATTTTGACATTTCCTTGTAAAATGATTGGACAGGAATTCTGGAGTTGCAGGCTCTGGATAATGTACAAATACAGGTTTAAAAAATGAAGTCTAAAAATTGAGCAAACAGTTTGTTTGTTTTAAGGCCTATGATGCTTCCTGGTGTTTTACCCCAGTGACATTATGGGTGATAGAATGGATGAATTTGTAACTTTTCTTGTGTTTGCATGAGAAGAATTTTTAAATTGACAGCAGAGTGACAGGTTAATGGTTGTACTTGATGTTTTTAGAGGTCTCCTGCAACCTTGATGATTGTCTGACTGGACAGAGAGTGGATTTCTTCCTGCCAGTCTCCATTATTGATGTGTAGGGATTGCTGGTGTCTTTAAACTCAGCATTGCAAGTTGTTTTTCAGAATAATTGATTGTTCACAGGTCAGATGCCAATTTCTGTCATCTTCATTCTGGAAAATAATGTCATTGTCTGTTCTGTAACGAGTGTTGTGATGTTTCCTGAGCGTTGCCATAACACTAACACAAAGCTGCTCCGAGAGGTTCTCTTTAAATTAGAAGCAGTAGGTGGCTGTCCATTATGTTCAAGCAGACACATTTGTATTTTGAAAAGTTAATGTATTTCCTTTTTTTCCCCCTTTTTTGTTGTTGTGTGTTTTCATGAACTTCACAGGTGCTTTGGGATGCTGCTGAGCCCTGGCCGAAATGTGAAGAACAGTGACATGCATTTACTGGACATGGTAATACTTAGCTCTGATAAGAGGTGATTTGAAAAAACCCACCCAAATAAACCCCAACAAAACAAACCTCTCATCTGGTTTGGTTTGGTTTGTTTTTTAAATCCTGGGGTTTGATATCTTCAAACACAAGATGGGCAAAACATACCAATTAATGTCAAAACCTGTGGCATCTGTTTTTTGTTCGATTGGTGAAGCACAAATTAGGCTGTTCTCAGTTACTATTTATTGTGTTAACCATGTTCCCTAAAATTTGGAGCAAATAATTGCTTTTCTGTTTGGGTGCCAGAGAATTGGTCTTGTTTTTCCAAGGGGCTGAAAACTCTGCCTATGTTTCCTTCATTTGATTTTAAATTCTTGCTCAGAGTTTGAAGTCTTCACTTGTCTTCTACAATATTCCATTTCTTAGAGGTGCATTAACAGAACTACAAAATATGATGCTTTCTGTGATAATACCAATTTGCTTTCTTGCAGTGGGTAAAAATTACAGCCATTCTCAGGTTTGCAGTGCTTGAATTAAACCTATCAGGCATTTTGTAGCTCTGCAGTTGTCTCAGTTTTGCCTAGTCCATTCCTGCACTGCTGCTGGTGACTCTGCCTATCAGACTCCTTTATCTGTCTGTTTGTACCTATTAGGTCATTTTTTCCCTGGCTTTCCTTGCTGAAATCAGTTCAGATTTCCCCTTTTATTATTTGATTAGAACCTTGAATAAATTGTAATGACTTATGGAGTGTCATAGCTTCAGTAGACCTATAAAACACCTTTTTACTGTGTTTGAATTTCTGTCTTTTCTCCACCTGGAATTCCATTTGCATTTACTTTCCAAGTTCATTTAACCACTGGATGTAATGACTTATTAGTTCATTTCCTGACCATAGCATAGGAACAGACACTTGAGTTTTCCTTTCCACCTCCTTTCTTCATGTTTAAACCTGGAGAACTCAGTCACTACTGCTCTCCCACAAATGGTGTTGCAGAGAGAGAACAGCAGTCTCCTTTCACCTGTAAAGAGGCACCAAAGAGGCCTGTTGGATCCACAGAGACTGTTCCAGAAAACTCCAGGAAGCTTGTACATGCCTTATACTATAACAGTTCATACCATTGCTTTATGCTCTTTACTGAGAGGTTCCTAGAACTATTTCCCCTCCCCATGCTCCATCTTTGATCTCAGCTCTAATAGAATCCTGTTTTTT